CATAAATCAATGGCAAAATGCAAGGTAAGTTCACGTGTCTTCTGTGTATGGTGTGGTTTTGGTGACATTCAGATGCAAACAGTATGCTATTTAGTATGCCGAAGTGTAATGAACTGAAGTGAACAGAGGAGTCTGAGAGACTCTGTTTCAGGAGATACAGAAGGCAACTTATTTCAAGTGCAAGACTTGGTAACTGCGTTTGTATTTATGTACTTTGCTTGGCCTGAGGTTAACATGATGTTGTGCCTTTTTTCTTTTTGTAGGTTGGCATTGCTGAAAGACCAAATGGCCCCTCACCTGACTGCGGTCCAAGCGTAGGCTCATTTGGTATGTGAAAGGCACTTTTCTTTCTACTGACATTTGGAGGAGATGATCCCTTGAGCAGTTTAGGAGATAAAAGAAAGCCACAAAATTACCATTGTGGTATTTTCATGTGTCCCCCATGGACTAAGCAATATCAAATTGTGTGGGTAATGTGACAAGTAGACTTTTCTTTTGACCCATTATCCTTCTGTATTGACTGCAGTTATATGTTGAATACAGCATATAATTTATAGTGAGAGTCAACAGTGTTACCTCACAGGCATTTCTAAAACAGGATCATCCTGAATGTGAACAGTATTGAAAATAAGTAAGTGTTACATGCAATGTTGAGCAGTTCTAGCAAGGTCCTGTTGTTGAAAATAAGGTTAGATGAAGTTGTTGAACAGAAATTTGGATCCATTTAAAACAAAACCCAACAGCCAAACAACAAAAACCACAAGACAAAATACTGATATTTGGTATCAAGCTTCTCTAAAGCACTCTTGGTTTAATGAATGTGATGCCTTTATAAACTTGAACAGAAGTTTTAGATGTAGAAGTTAGAACAAGCGTAGATATAGAAGTTTTAAATATGCCAGACCAGGGTTGCTGCTGAAGGTAGCCCCAGGCTTTACTTTCTGTGACTCTACAATAGTCAGATCGGGAAACAGGTCTTGCTTATAACTGACAGCCTGTGGGATAAGGCAATTGGAGTGTTCTCACTGTAGTCTCTGAACTTAGGAATGGTCTTTAAGACTGCTTGAGGATATTTTAACTTCAGTGAAATTCAGTCGGGAGGTAAAAATTTTGAGCTTATATCATTTAGTTGATCCAACTGTGGAAGATCAACCTAAACTGTATTTTAACAAATTGTGGTTAGCACAAATTACATGGTATCATAGAACAGCCCAGGTTGGAAGGGATCTTGGAAGATCATGTGGTCCAACCTTTTGTGGTAAAGGAAGCCTAGATGAGATTATCTAGCACCCTGTCCAATCCCATCTTGAAAATCTCCAGTGATGGGGACTCCACCATGTCCTTGGGAAGGTTGTTCCAGTGAATGATTGATGTCACTGTAAAAAAATTCTTCCTCTATCACAATGAAACCTCTCCCAGTGGAATTTGTACCTGTTGCCCTTTGTCTTCTCCATGTGGTTCTTTATGAAGAGAGAGCCCCTGTCCTCTTAGTAGCTGCCCTTCAAGTACTGAAATACTGCAGTGAGGTCCTTCCTGATCCTTCTCATCTCCAGGGACAAGAGACCGAACTCCCTCAGCCTTTCCTCATAGGGCAGGTTCTTCATATGTTTGTAACCGCTTATTTGTTTATGAGCTGTTAGAACATGGCAGTATGTTTATTGCTGATGTGTCTCTCGCCTGCCTTTCAGGTTATAGCTGCAAGGCAGACTTCCTCGAATTCCTTGTCCCAAGATGTTGGTAAATTAAGAAGGACAGGCACAAAATACCACTTGTGCTACTTGAATTCCTCTGAATTTGGACAGTTACAGGAAGTAGAAAATTCAGAGGACAGGCTTTGCATTCATACTAGAACAGCGGAAATGTTTTATGAGGTCTTTAGGTTGCTAACTTCAGTAATGGTTTGACACAGAACACGTAGGAAATGCAGTGTTTGTGAAGAGAACTTGAATTGCAAGTTAGGTGGAAGTAAGTCTTGGAGCTTCATGTTTTGTTCCAGCTCTTTCTTTCTGACTAGTCGGCTCTACCTGCTAACTTTCCCATTATATATTGCGAAAATAACTAAATATTCTCTGATCTGTGCTTCTTATACTGAACTCAAGGCAAGGAGGGCTTTTCTTGCTGAAGGTCTTGCTTTCACTGTCATTGTTAACCATTTGTTCCTTTCCCGAGCTAGGTGTATTGTGCCATTTTAGATCAGCATGAGCAATTTCAAAGCATCTGTTTTGGCTTGACACAATCATCTGGTTCTTCTTAGTTGACAGGGAGCTCTGTCAATAGGGGGTAACACTGAGGTTGCTTGCTTATGCTAGATACAAGCAAACCTTATTTGCTGTTCAAATAAGGACCTAAAGAACTAAAGCTCTTCAGGAAGTCCAGAGGTGGGGCTCACCATTGATAAGATTATGCATCTTGTGTTGATCTTGTTTAAAAGGGTATGTCAGTATTAGGGATTCCCTACATCATGATGGAAAAAGATGTCTTTTTTTTTTTTTTTTTTTTTTTTTCAGAGAAGGCTGCATGGGCCTTCTTTTTTCTCTTGCAAAATTTCTGTTTTTTGAACAGATTGTGCTTCAGAGTTTTAAATTAACATTTCACGAGCTGCTCTCTTGGATGCATTGCGCTTCTAGTCTCTGTATAGTTATACATAACTATAACTAATAAATAACTACATTGTTAGTGATATAACTTGCTTGTTTGACACTAAATAGCATGAGTAGAGTTAGTGTATGCAGTTAAACTTGAATTTTTATTTTTTCCCTGAAACAATATCTAGTAGTAGTACTGTTGTGTAAATCCTTGTAATGAGGATAAGCTAAAAGTAATACCCCATACTTGCAAATTATTTTTTTATTGAGCTTTGCTTTGACTTAAGTGAATTAATTCTTTATATTGCATTTTCATAAAAGCAAAACTTTCTTTACAAGCTGGGTGTGCTGAATTTTCAGTTGTGAAGGAACTTTTTTATTTCCTGCTTCATACTTCTTTGGTACTTAAAAAAAAATAACAAAAGACCACCCATGAAGAACCCCAAACAGAAAACAGAATTAAAAGTCTTGCTGAAATGACATTTATTTAGTATGTACAGGATTTGGGGGTGGATGTCTCTGAAATAGATTAAAATCAGGATTTTAAATTCCCATGTACAGTAGAAAAATGTAAGTGAATTCATATGATCAGGAAACCAGCAGATATAACAGCTGTTGTTCGGGGATATGCTGATACAATGCTAGATTTTAGTTCCAGTGAGCTGGAAACAGAGCTTAATTCTAGTCCTCTTAATCTATCCAATATTGCTTGAAAATTAGTAAATTTAGAGTGGTGAATGAAATGGCAATGAATTAAACACTAGCATTTAATACTTCTAGACTCCCTATAAGACCAGTTAGCTTGCAAACCTGGACATGAGGTGTACATAGACATGAAGGGCATGAATAATTCACATAGCAGGGGAATGATAATTATGAAAGTTGCTATACTTACAGCAATCTGAATAAGCTGGTTGGCAACTAACAGTGCAGTCTGCAGTTGATTGGTGTAAATGCTAAGCATGGCATACCTGACTAATAAATGCTTATTACTTCTGTCCTGTTTGCTGTGTATAAATCTGTGTATAGCATCTTTCATTACTAGAGGCAGGAGACACAAAGGGCAGCATGGTGAAGGAACTTATTAAAGCAAATGCTTTACTGATCAAGTATTTTGTTGCCACATGATGGGCTTTCCAAAAACTTTGAATACTGAATTAACTTAGTGTGTTTAAGGTTTGGAAGTCTCAGTGGAAGAGGAGTGATGGAATGAGAATGGGTTAGCATGACAAGTAAAGGGAAGAGAGTCCTCACCACTTTAAAGACAAATAGACTTGTTCAATGGAAGCCAACCTATTGTGGTAAACCATAAAAATACCAATTTAAAGGTAAGGTGTTTTTATTTGCTGCTTGTTACATGTTCCATATAAACATGAGTATCAGAATCTTTTTTACTGGCTGTGACACAAACTACTCAAATCTTCAAAGTGAGCACAAACTCTGAACTTTGTTCAGACTATGAAAGCAGCAGTTTAACGCTTTGTTTAGTGTTGTATAGAAAAGTTTCCTAATTGAGTCATTTGATAACATACCAAATGTCATCTGTCTTCTTTTTTTACTTTATGACAAGCTCTGGTATATAGGTGATCTCTTTTAATGTATTTGTCTTGTTGTGGAATGTACTAGTGCCTGTTTTTTTTTTCAGGGGTAGCTATATTATTATGTTAAGCAGTTTTAACTTGGAAGGAAAACAGTAACAATTGGTTTCTGTGATGTGCCATATACTTGCACATCCTGGAATTTCGTAGACTTCATGTTTTGATTTCAGATTTATTGCCTTTATGATGGTTGTTGATGTATCCTGATCTTGACTTTGATATTGCAGAAGAGGGAGTTTTGTTTTTATAGAATCACTTGGATTGGCAAGCAACTCTGAAGATTGGCTGGTCCAAATACTTGCATAGAGTAGTGTGAACTGTAGCAGGTTGCTCAAGACCTTGTCCAGCTGAGTTTTGCATTTCTCCAGGGATGGAGACTCTACAAGCTCTCTGGGTAATTTGCCTAGTGTTTAGCCACCCTCAGAGGAAAAAGATTTTCCTTGCGTTAAAATGGAATTTCCTGTGTTTTGATTTGTGCCCGTTGCCTCTTGTCCTCTCATTGAATTATCAGTGAAAAGAATCTGATTCTTTCTTGTCTTGGCTCTCTTCTGTTAAGAATTAAGATCCTTTGAGCATTTTTGTCTCCGGGCACAAGAGCTCAAAGCCACTCTGTGTATGACATGCACCAGTCTTTTCATTATCTTTGTGATCCTTTGCTGGGCTCACTCCAGTATGTCAGTGTCTGTTTTGTACTGGATAGCCTAGAACTGAATGCAGCATCTAGATATGGGGTCATCAGTGAGGAAGGACCACCTGCCCCCACCTGCTGGCAACATTTTTCCTAATGTAGTGCAGGAGACTGTTGGCCTTTACTGCAATGACACGTTGCTGGCTTATGTTCAATTCGCTATCCAGCCTTAAGGTTTATGTCTGCGAAGATGCTTTCCAGCTGGTTGGCCCCGGTGTGTGCTGGTACCTGGAGTTACTCTTCCCTAGGTGCATGTTATGTGCTGTATTAGGTGCCTCTTTAGTTGGAGCAGTTGAGGAAAAGGAACAGAAACAGAAGGCAGAAACCCAGTTGATTCAGTCGCAACAAGATTTGATCAAAACATTACAGTGTCAATTAGAAGAAGAGAGATTTCAAGTGGCTCTGCTGAGACAGGAATTAGTTAATTGTCTCTTAGCAGACACAGATGACCCTAATGCCATTGCGGTGACCAAAAAGAAAGCCGAGGGAGTTACCCCTCCGTCAATTTATCCCCAAGCTGAATTGTTTCAATTGAAAGAAAGGTTGGACAAATTAGAAGTCCTGTTGAGACCATTGATTAAAAGTGAATATATCTGTGATGGAGAGGATGACATGCCTCAGGTTGTGACTAAAGAAGTGCCATTTATGGCCACTGAATTGGCAAAACTCAAAAAAGATTTTGACCTCACATCAAAGGAATCGGAAACAGAGTAGGTGTGGAGGGTCTCTCTAACTGGGGATGACCAGATCTTATTGACAGAAAAGGAAGCTGAGGGATATTGGGGACCTGGAGTGTTTTTGACTACAGGGAACTGTAGGGCTCCCTGGTCCCTGACTCAGTGGGTTGCTTACTGGGCAGGAGGTCTCAATCCATTAGAATGAGGAGATCTGCTGGCAATCATAGGATCTACAGATCAATTAGTAGAGAGTGTTCAAAAGGCAGCTTGTCTGCAAATGATGTATGACAGGGAATTAAAACCTAATCAGGAGTCACCCAATATGATTCCTGTGGACCCAGAGAGGATGGCCTCTCTCATCCGAGGGCTCCCAGACTCTGTGAAGGCCATAAGAATTCAATTGCAAGGCCAAATTAGAGCCACTGCAAGTGACGACCAGGTCACAGTGGCATTGGAGGGAGTGGTCACCCCAGACCACAAACATTCTGATAGAAAAGTATGGACCTGGGGAGAGGTTGCTCAAGAATTAATTAATTATGGAAGGAAATACGGCCCTGTGCTGAGCCACCCCAAACAAGAATCTAAGGGAATTAGGCGAACTGAGGAGGTACCTATTTTGAGAGAAACCCCAGGAAAAGTCTCTAACCACGTCAAGAGAGGGTCAGACAGTGAGTGACAAAGAAAGAGGGTCTATTTGTGGATGGAAGGGCTGAAAAAAGGAATACCTAGAGAAATAATGGACAGACAACCCACTAGAATCTTAGAAATATTGGTATCCACTTGGAATAAAGAAAAACCTGACATCCCCTCTGTACCCTCTTTCCTGATTGGCACCTGTAAGACCGAGGAGACAAAAAATGAGCAGTAGGGAAACGATCTCCTCCCCCCCTGTAAGTGAGCTGGGGGGAGGAGGATGGCAATATTTAAGGAGGCTCACTGAAAATGAAAAGGGGAGCAAGAAGGGGGAGCAAAAAGGAGAGCCAAAAATGGAGCAGAGCTGAGAACCTGCCTGCCTGCCTGGACTGGACCACCGTTGGAAAAAACCCTAGATCGGAATAAGTGGACGCTACAGATCCCTGGTGGTGACTATTGCAGCGTCCTCTTCTTCTTCTTCTTCTTCTTCATCCCTCTCCCTCCCTCCACACACACCCCCACCCCCCCACGCTTTGTAGTGGTGTTGACAATATATGGCCTCGTTTGTGCCTTAATCTCGACGGGTATTTGAATCAGCAGCCCCGGTAAGAGTCTATCTCTTTAGGACTGCAACAGTGCAGGATTTTGCATTTATCTTTTTTGAACTTTGAGGTTCTTGTCTGACCATGTCTCTAGCATGTTTTGAGTTTACATTCAAAACTGTGAGTGAAACACAGCCCTGTGTTGTGTCCCAGTTTTGTATGTCTGCAGATTTTCTCATCATCTAGGTCATGAATGAAGATGGTAAACTGTGTTGGCCCCAGTATCAATCAGTGGGGTACTCTGCTAGTCATTGGCCTCCAGCTGGAGTTTGTGCTGCTGATTACAACCTTTGGAGCCCAGTGGTTGAGTCCTCCTCACTGTCTGATTATGTAGGCTGCACTTTATTGGTTTGTATATGAAGATGTTATGGGAAGCAGTGTACAGAGTCTTACTTCCTTGTTGTTTTCCTTTTCCAGGTGCTGTTGAAAGACCTAAGAGGAGTCAGCATATGCAGGGTCATTTTGGAGGGTATTCTATGAGCGGAGGTAGGATTGCATGGGTAAAATTCATAGTTTTGGGGGTGATTAAGCCTTCCTTTTGGGCAAAACATTTAGAATGGAGGAGCTTGCAACTGGTGTCCGAGTAGATTCTGGAAACTCAAATTTTACTGTGTTGGTGGCAGTGCTGTTGCTGAAAGGTGCTGTTCCTTAATGGAAAATAGTACTTACACCTCTCCTAAGCTTTGTAATTTTAATTCATTTTCTTTGTCTTATAAAAGGGCACCTTAATCACATGGTGGGCTCTTTTGTTAGAGTGGGAGTTAGGCTGCAGATATGAGGTGCCTTTCAGCCTGAATGATTCTGTCATTTTACTGTTGAGTTTAAAAGAAACTGAACTGAAACAACAACAACCAAAAAAACCCCAAACCCGGCCAAAACCGAAAACCTACCCTGAAGTCAAAGATAGCTTTGAATGTTATGTTGATTCTTTTTTTCTAATTATAGATACTAGTGAATTTCTGAACAGGCAGTATCAAAGAGTGAGTAAATTTGGTAGCGGAAGGAATTTTGCAAACAGAGGTAACTTTCTGGAGTGTCTGTAATTCTAGTGGCTAGTTTTATTCGATACACTAAATTTCCCCTATTCAGATACTCGGTTTTGTTGTACCAGAGCCAGATGAGTATTTATGACTTAGAGGCTACAATACCAATCCTTATTTCTGCATAATGTAGACACTAAGGTATCATCCCTTTGTTTTGACTGCACGATATAAAATACCCTACAATATTTGCCAGAAGGCAGGACTCTGTGTTTAAAAATCGATGTTTTGTTTACGTCTTGCTTTGGTTCCATTCCCCTTGGAGAGGGGTATTTTTCTAGTAATTTCATTGAGTCATAATGTAGTGTAAAAGGCAGCTGAATATTAATATTCACATATATGCCGTGTGAGGGACTATGCCAGTTCTCTTCTATGGAAGATGTGAAAACTTGCTTTCTTTAGGGTCCATAAAGCAATGTTTAATGCCTGTCCTCTTCTTGTTTGTAACGGTGAGTGACACTTTTCTATGCAATACACATTGAAGAGATTAGTGATTGACAGTTTGGCAGTACTGCTGCATACGCTTCCACGAGGTGCTATCAGAAGTACATAGGGCAGTGGAGACTTATTATCACGTAGCATCTGTCAAAATAGTTCTAAGGCTGTAAGTGGGACTGGTTATGAAACAAGGAAGATGGAAACTCTAGTCCTGGTTTGGGCATGTTTAGCAAAAGTTCTGACCTGCAGAACAGCTGTGGAACCACTTGAAGTTGTTACGCTTATTCTTTCAAAAAATTCTGCACCGTTTCTCCATCTCTTGGATTAATGCGTATTATGGTAGGGGAATGCTAGACTCATTTGACTAAGCAGGCAGCAACACTTTGGTGGTGCTGTGGAATGATGACTAACAGTTCTGCTGTAGACTTTCCAGCAATCATGAAGAAAATCACAAGCTGTATTTAAGGTCAGTAGTTATGGATTTTATATCTAGACTGTCTCTTGTGTGTGAGCCTTTAAGGTGTGATCTTTATTTATTTATTTTTAATTTGGTGAAAGTCAAATGACATAAGTCGGTAGGCACCAAGCATTGGTGGAGAAGGAGCTACAGGTACTGTGGTAGGAGAACTTCCTGGTCTCATTTAGCAGAAGATGCTCTTTGTCATTATAAGGTGTTGGAACAGGTGCTCAGTTGAAGAATAAAGACTGAGGAGTAAATGACAATACAAGTTGACTGCTTGGATCTTAGACAACACCTAAAACTGTATAAAATGAGATATACCTTGTTTATGCATGTGGCTGTTTACTTCCTCTCCTTCCCCATCAGGAGGTTGACTAGGCCAAGGGTTAGAAATAAAAATACACTAAGTACTTGGCACTGCCTGTCCTGAGCAACTGAATAAGCAATTCTGAGTAATAAATAGAAATTGATAGATCTGAAAGGCAGGTTTTCAAATCCTCACTCCATAGGAGGCAGCAATTGCAATAGGACCTCACTGTACAGTACTGGTTATGAAAACTGAGAAGGTACAGGTGCTGTCAGTTGTTCTGTGACTGAACCAGAGGACTGAACTAATCTGCATCATAACCGAAGAATTGAAAGTTAGTAGCTTATATAGCATATATGTGTGTAAAGTCAAATACTTCAAGACTTAATGTTGGATTTACTTCTTGCAGGAAGCAATACTAGAGAAGAGCAGTAGACTCTTCTCATCATCATTTTTAGCAAAAAATACTTCATTTTTTCATACGTTTAGACAAACCGGTTTTATGGTGCTTTTTATCTGTATTAATAAAATAAGGACTGTGAAGAATAATCGCCGAATAAAAGGACTTGATCTGCACGTGCAAAACTGGGCAAACTAAGTTACGGTGTACTATGCTGTACTACAAGTTTTCGAGAAAGGAGCATTGTAGAAGGTTGTAGTACACAAAATAGAGGTGTTAGAGGATTTCCTTCTAGCTTTTGACAAAGTGAGAGTAAGTTGTTTTGTTTGGTTTTTTTTTTTATATTGACTGGTTTGTGTGGGAACAGCATACATTTAGTCATTCATTCTGGGTTTGCTTGCTCCCTGAGAACTACAAGTATAAAGGTGAAAGCTATGAAATAGCTCCTGTTCTTCAGCTGTGTTGTAGAACATGGATAATGCCTTTGAAAAATACTGTCACTGGGAAAAATACAGTATAGGTTGGAGATACAAAGAAATCTGTTAGGGCTGTTGCACTGTAGAGTTTTTGGAGTGAAAAGTACTATTAAGCATAGTACCTGATACTAATTTTAGACACTATATCCACTACACTGTGTATTACTCACAGGTATTGAAGGTGAGCAAAGAGACAGACCTCAGTCTGGCATTTTCCTTGGCTCTAGAAGAGGAGGAACATTTGGAGGTGATGCAGGTGAGACTTTTTAAAAAGGTGGTGAACATTTCCGTTTCCTCATTGCTGGTTTGTGGCAATGCAATAGCTTCTTAGCTTTGCTAAATGCTGTCACTGTGGTTGTTCTTTATTTCTGAGTTAAGAACCTACTGCAAATGTTAGATAGCTTGCTTCCATTCCTGCACAAGGCATGTTTGTAACTTGGATAAATTTTAGGAATTGCATTTTCAAAGCTGTTGCCTCCTCTAATTTTTTTCGTAGCCCTAGTGCTACTGGGTCAGTTAACGCAGAGTGAAGCAGAGGTGCTAACCGTAAAATTGAAAGCAAGCCTTTAAGAACTTGCTCAGTTTTTAAATAGTCACTCTAGATTTTTTCCACCTCCCCTATAAAGGGAAGTATTGTTTTAGGTTTGTCCAGGCTCACAAGTAAGGTTTGTAGCCCTGAGAGGCCAGCTTTTCTGATGACTTTATTCTAATGTTGTTTTTTTTTTTCTGCGTACAGAGGATTTTTCCCTCATGGTCTGGTCTTCCTTTGCCACTGATGCTACTGAAACTTGTAAACTGTGTGTTTTGCTACCTAGAGCATAGTAATCTATCACTCATGGAAGTCCCATAATTCAAATTAGAAATACCATTAAACTAGTGTAGTGGGTAGTGGATGGTGATATTTGCAATGTAAGAACATTTTGTGTGATACTGGTAAAAATTTTTAACTGTAGAAAAAAATACAGTATTTGTTTCAGAAGTGCTCCTTAATATCCAGAGAACACTTGATTTGCCTCTATTCGACTTACTCAAATTCAGTTTTTCAGATTTTTAGTTCAAATAATGATTTTTAGAAACTTGAGTGTTTATAGAGGCAACATGCTAATACTCATAGTGGACTTAACTGCATCCTTAACGCAGGATAGTGATACCTTACTTTTTCGTGACCACGTATAAAGTGTCGGTATGTAAAGACTGTTACGGGTATTGGTGGGCAACAGTTGCACTAGTCTGTATAGAGAGAGGTTCATGTGGAAAGATAATTCTTTATAAAGAGTAGTTTGTTGCATGGGAGGTATGTTCTTTTACAGTTAGAGTATGTGTGTGGACCTAGCGAAGGAACAGCAAGCACTGCTAGGCTGTTGTGCTGCCTCCATCTCTGAATAGCAGTCATGTCACTCTAACAGAGTTTGTAAAGGTCATGAAGGTAGGGCTGTGCTGGCTTTTCTTAAAACAGTTATGCTTCTTGCAGTTAGAGATACTGTGTAAGCATATTCTATCTTCTGATGGAAAAATAAGTATTTAGAAGTGATAACACACACTGTATGTTGCATTTTTGCTTGGATTCTCTGTCACCATCTCAACAAAGCTGTGATATTACAGAGTTGCTTAAGAGTATTGCTGCTGAACAGAGCATTCCTGATCCAAGTCACAGTACTGGCTGCCTCTTTAGAACTGGTATTTATGTTTAGAGTTAATAGTTTGATCTTGTTGAGAACGAGTAATTGGATTAATAGGGTGCCTTGATGCTATTCTTCTGTGCTTGTGTCTTGGTTTGAAAGACAGGTGTCTGCAGAGGAAGGCAGGAGCCTCCCTTGAAATGGAAAAGGCAACCCCCTTCCCTCCAAATTATTATAATTTTGAAATTAACGGGCCTTCAGGCAAAGATATGGGGAATAGGAATAACAGTTCTTTACTAATATATATATATATATAACACAAGGCAGGAAAAAAACCCAACCCACTGGTTTACACTGACAGAGTCAGAAATACAACCTGACACCCTGTTAGGGTGGCAGTAGCAGTCCGATAAGATGCTGGCTGCAGTCCTCCTGAAGCGATGGATGTAGTTCTGTTGAAGCAGTGATCTTGTAAAAGGGTCTGGTCTTCCTCGGAAGGTCCAGTGGTAGGTAGGTAGCTCTTGTCCTCTGGAACTCCAGTGGAGGGGGAAAAACTCCTCTGGGAATCCAGTGGAAGAAGGCTGCTAGGGTGTTCGAGATCTCAGTTTTTATTTAGCATGGACTGCTTGGCTCCTTCTCCCCGGGCGGAGCATCTCACAATGGGATGGCGAGTTGCGAGGCAGTTCCTTGATGGGCCATTAACAGGAGATAGTCCAGAGGGAGGACGCAGGGAGCACCGCCCCACCTGGTCTCAACAGCTCATGAAGATGGTAATAGCATACTTTTTTTGGGCACATCTTACACTGTAACCTAGGACAGCTTGCATGGCTGCAGGAGGAAGAATGCAGATAAAGGAAGCACTGCAGGGTCGCTGTACTTCTGTGATACCAGTCTTAAAATTGTCAGTCTCATATTATGATTTTTATGAATGGCCTGAGCTGTGCATTTCAGTAGAGAACCTGTTAACAGCTTTCGTGTTGTCTTTCCTCTACACTCAGTCTTGTGTCCCGTATCTTCCTTTCTAGCCTCCATTCTTTTCCAGGCGGACCTTATATTAAAGCGTCTTTTTTTACCCTTCTTTAAAATCGGCAACACAACTTCCTGCACAGAGTAGATACAGGCTACCAGTTAGGTTTAAGGCTTTTTCTATTTTGTGTATAGTAAGACCAAGTACTTAAAATGGATTATGGAAATGCTGCTGTTAATAGCTCAGTCTTAATACAGTTTTTACTTATGTAAAACATAAAATCTTAGAGTCATTAGGTTGGAATAGACCTCTGAGATCATCAAGTCCAACCGTTGCCCTAACACCACCATGCCCACTAATCCATGTCCCAAAGTGCCACATCTACATGTTTTTTTAACACTTCAGGATTGGTGACTCCACCACTTCCCTAGGCAGCCTGTTCCAATGCCTGACCACTCTTTCAGTAAAGAATTTTTTTCTGACATCCAATCTAAACCTCCCCTGGCCCAACTTGAGGCCATTTCCTCTTGTCCTGTCACTTGTTACTTGGGAGAAGAGACTGACCCCCACCTCACTACAACCTCCTTTCAGGTAGTTGTGGAGAGTGATAAGGTCTCCCCTCAGCCTCCTTTTCTCCAGGCTAAACAGCCCCAGTTCCCTCAGCTGCTCCTCGTAAGACCCGTTCTCCAGACCCTTCACCAGCTTCATTGCCCTTCTCTGGACACGCTCCAGCACCTCGATGTCTGACTTGTAGTGAGGGGCCCAAAACCACACAATACTCAAGGTGTGGCCTCACCAGTGCCAAGTACAGGGGCACAATCCCCTCCCTGCTCCTGCTGGCCACACTATTTCTGATACAGGCCAGGATGCTGTTGGCCACCTTCTTGACCACCTGGGCACACTACACTGTTGACGAGCACCCCCAAGTCCTTTTCTGCCTGGCAGACCATGTAGTACTTCCTCACTTTTAGGAGTAAATGTGTTTGTTTTTCAAGTGATAATGAAAGCAACACACATACAATGCATGGATGTCAAGGTCAGAACTTTCAGGGAATGGATGTTATGAACATGTGGCTGTTGAAATAACCGGAAGGTTTTGTCTTCTGATTTAAATTCGCTCCTAACTCTTGAAAAACTGCTATCATGACACTGAAGTTTATGACTATGGATCTTTTGCTGTTTAGAAGTTGGTTATATAGCATGAAACAGGCATCTGGTTTTGTGGAAACGTTGAATGATTCTTAAAACCAAGATGCTGTAACCGTAAGCATGTGTGAATTTCTTGTTACTCACAATATTTCATTCATCGGTTTTAGGGGAAAAACCTCACTTAGGAGGTAACAAAACAAGGTTATAAACCTGACATTTGTGGCGTATCAGTTTCTTGTTATAGATGCTTTTTTCCTCATGATTCATTTCAAGTGAATACGGACAACTATATCTGTCCTTGCAAAGCGTATGCTGGATTTAGGAGGGATCATTCCTTTTGATTGTCTTCAAATATGACTTGCTTTATATAGACATCTTGTGATGGCCATCTCGTAGAGAGGGATGATTGCATTTGATTTGATGGTAAGGGACTTTAAATAAAGTCAAATAAGGACCAGATTTGCTTTGTGAAGTGCCTCAGCAAGGTGCTGGATCTAATTCCTTCATGTTGTTACTGCAAGGTCCTGCTAAGCTCAGTGTTCTGACGTCTTCTCTTTCTGCCCTTTAAAACACAAATACGGAGCCTTTGTCTTCTGGCTTTCTGTAACTAAGCTTTCATTGCTTACTTAAATATTTCTACTCATTCTACCAACCATATCAGGATCCACTGTTGAGTTTTCTAAGTGCCTGTAGGAATTAAGGTTCTTAATTAGATCTTCTCTCAAATGAGCTTTTTTTTCCTAAAATGAATTAACTTTGGAATGCTTTCTTTAACAGCAGCTTGCAAAGAATGCAGTGAAGAAATAGGTTCTGAAAGAGGTAAGTAGCTTTTTCCACAAGTAACATGCCAGTTTTAACTTGTTTTTAACTCAAGGAACATTGTCTTACTTAAAGTTGCTGGAAGCAGTTGGGTGAAAAAGAAGGTAGGGATATGGGTGAATGCATAACCATCTCAAAACAGTTTGTGTAGCATGAGTTGCCAAGCAAATTCTGTTAAACTCTGTATGTTTAAACTTTGTTCATCTTTGAATTAATGGGTGATGCAGTGGTTGTTCTCACCTAAGTAAAGACTAACTTTTTTGGAATGGAATGCTGTAGAACTGTTGCTGTTGTTTCTTCTTTCCAATGGTAAAGCTTGTCTACCTGGGACACAAGTGTTAGAGTACATGATTGGCAATAGTGTAGGCAACTAAGTGATAATCATTAAAGCAAACCATGAAGAAACAGTAGATTCTCAGTTTCAGATGCTATAGCATCTGGGATTCTGTTTCTGGAAAACAGGCTTGATGTGTTTTACAGAGTGCAAGTTAGCAAATAAAATTTCGTGATTATTATGTGCAGAAGATGAGGTTGAAATATATGAATAATAATGACTTTCTGACATATATTGGTAGTGTCAGTTGAGACAATCTATTAAAATGTTTACTTACCTGCAGTGTTTTTTGCAAATGTCTTTAGCCTTATCTTGCCTTTCTCTTACTCTTGAAATAGAAAAAGACAGATACTGAACTCTTGCCTATTTTGGTTCCTGGTCATTCCTCATTGGAGGTCCCTGTGAAATGGCTTCTACTGCTAGCCTTTTAGTGAGCATCAAATAATTTTCCACCTCCGACTTTATTAGCTTGAAAAATAGGTTAATGAATACAGAACTATAAATGGGCTGCAATGAACAGATTGATTTTCTCCTTTTTTTTAATGCTCTATTAATTTTATACTAATAAATGCATTGCTACTGACTAGGTTAATTTATAGCGTAATGAGGTTTTGTGGTAGAATTGTTTTTTGCATGGTGGTAAAATAGAGCCTTATATAATTTTTGTGAGTAGCTCTTCAACTTAAGGTCCTTGAGCAAATGTGAGACAAGAATGCTTTACAGAACTCCGACTTTATTTGTGAGTTTTAGGTCTACTGGTATAAAAGTAAGTTCTAATAGAATTAATTTATGAAATTTCTTGCCTTACTGGAAAGTTGAGAGACGTCTAAATGGCGTCCCACTGAACTTAACTTCAGTAGCTCCATACTTAAAATAGTTTTAGTTTAAGTTTTTGTGATATTGTTCATGAATGTGAGTGATTGTGTTTTTAAGGTCCAAAGGTGACTTATGTGCCCCCTCCTCCACCTGATGATGAACAAGCTATCTTTGCACATTATCAGACAGGAATTAATTTTCACAAATATGATGAAAACGTTGTTGAAGTGTCAGGACTTAACCCTCCAGCACCGTTACTGGTTAGTAAACTCATTAATCTCAGGATTTATGTTGAGTGTGATTCTGCAGGGTTGTATACCGAATCTAATACTCACTGCTAATGAAAATGTTAATAAAGATTTTGAATCCTGCAGACAGTACTATGTTGGAAGGAGATGGTGCCCATTTGAAAGATAAAAATTTGAATTCAAAATTACATTTACAAGTTACAGAAATGGTCCAAACAAAGTGATACTGGATGGACAGGAAGTATATTCCTTAAACTGCGGAAAAATGCTGGTTTATATCTTGAAAGAAAGAGGTCTTTGCAGCAGTTTGTGGGAAGGCAGGTGGAATCATCTTGTCGAAATCTGTTACTGGGGGATCTTTTGCAATGTAAATGAACGCCTGTTGGAATAGTTTTCCCTTGGGTAGAGAGGTGTTTTTGACATCATCTCTAGCCCTGTTTTCTGTGGCTGCTGTTTATTGTTTAAAGGTAATATATAACTGTTCCTACTCCACACCAGGTGGCTAGAGGTTTGTTTAAAAAAAAAACTCTTTCTAGGGAGAAGAATGAGGAAGAAGGGCAGAGGGGGTAGTAGCACCTGTGTTGAAAGAGAAGATGTGGACGTTTTTTTCTCCATCCCATGTTCTGAAAGGTTTTCTCACTGAAGTTAAACTGATTTTGTTATGTACGATGCTTTTTGGTCTTGGATAGGGATGTTGCTTTAGCTCTCTTTACTAGTTTTAACACAGAGATGAAGTGTGTATTTGCTATGTGAAATGAACCAGAAGAGTTTTAGTTTGTTTTCATAGCATGCCATGATAATGAGTTCACGTGCTCGAATCCAGATGTATGCAGTTTTCTCTCAAAACTAAGACGAGCAGCTGAAGGCCCTCATGGTCCTACAGGCAACTTTACTTGAATGGCATGAGCAGGTTGAAGAAACCTTTGGGGCTTTTGCCTGTAGGAACCTCGGGAATCTAGATGGCTGGTGAGACACCTCCAAAAGTTAATACTTTTTAGTGTTTGGATGGCTCTAGCCTGTGGTAAGTGTCTCAGTTTTGAAACTTAACAGTGGATGTGTACTGTTAATTTTTTTCTCTTACAGGCTTTTGAAGAAGCTAACCTCTGTCAGACTTTAAACACAAACATTGTGAAAGCTGGATTCTCTAAACTTACTCCGGTGCAGAAGTACAGCATTCCTATTATACTGGCAGGAAGGGATTTAATGGCATGTGCCCAGACAGGATCGGGAAAAACTGTAAGCATTTCGTGTAGTATTTGTACTACTGGAAGTGTGTGACCATGAACTTTCAGGTGGATGCCTTGGTCTTCTATGTGCCAGATGCTTCACAGCTTGTTACCGAATGATTTGACTCCCACTGCAATGGCAGGTGTAGCATTAAGCGCAGATACGAATGATGGATGGTTATGGTTTTGGGCTGAATTCCTTTTAATTTCAGTGAACTAGTGTCTTGATACAGCAGGCCAGTCTTCAGGGCTACAGATGCAGATTCAGAAGTGTATGCAGTCATAGAAACTGCTGATGAGAAAAAAACCCTCAGCAGTTGAAATTTGGCATTTCTTTCTGTGGTGTGTGGCTTTTTTTTTTTTTTTGGTGTTGGTATGTGTGGGGTTTTTTGTGGTTTTTGTGGGGTTTTTTGTGTTATTTGTTTTGGGTTTTTTTAACTTATGCCGGATTTTAACAGTGTGTTGTGCCAGTTTGATCAAGTCTGATCTTCACTGAGCTTACTTTTAGGTGATTTCACTATTAATTGTGGAGCAGTGTTGAGAGTTGATATTAAGTTGACAGTTGTCTCAAACTTGGGTACACTGGACAGTTTAACAAGTTAACCACTGGCAGCTCTGTATGAGAATATTTTGATATTAAGTACAGCTTTTTGCCATTCAGTATAGTGTGGATTCTAGCTTTGTTACGCAGCTTATTAGTCTCTTTTTTGAAAAACATCTGTTTGCAGAGGGGTAAATGTCCAAAGCTTATAAATGTTCTGAATGCATTTGGGACTGCTGTACAGATTCTGGTTTGGGAATAACTAGTCTAACATGGAAATAAGGGTGCTGGTGCAGCTGTCTTGCAAACTGATCTGCTATTGTAGTAGTCCGGAGAGTGCTGATACCTGATTACCTTACAGATCTACTGATGATAATGTAAAGCTTGTAAGTAATGTTAAGGAGTGGTTTTCATTGTGTGGTACATAGTGTATGTCAGCATGAAGTATGGAACTGCCTGAAGAACCCAGAAGTTAGCTGGTGCATGGCTGTGTTCCTGCATTATTAGACTCCTTAAGATCCAGAGAGATACTTTCATGCTTCTTGAACAAGGAAAAATAAGGTTAAATGTTCTGTAATGCATTCAGGTCATTCCTTTTGCAGTCTGATTTCATTGAAGTTGGTAGAGTGCTGTATCATTGTAGCTTGTAAGATGGATACGCAGCTTTTAGTGTGACTGATGAAAATTTTTGAGACTAAATAGCATAAATACTGCTGTATTTTTTTTTTTTTTAGGCAGCTTTTCTTGTACCAGTTGTGGCCCACATGATGAGAAATGGCGTAACTGCCAGTAGGTTTAAAGAGCAGCAAGAACCAGAGTGTATTATTGTTGCCCCAACTAGAGAACTCATAAATCAGATCTTCCTAGAAGCAAGGAAATTTGTGTATGGGTAAGCTTTTCACTGTTGCCTGGTATTGATTATTAATTTTGCCTGAAGCAGCAGTATTGTATTTTTTTCATGAATACTTGAAAAAACTTTTCTGTGCTAACAGAATGACTACAAATACTCGAATTTAGGTGATAATACTGGCTAGCAGGTTTCTTACTATATGGCTAGGAATTGAAACTCCTAATCTTCCTGATACTGGCGGGGTGGGGAGAGGCTCACTCCAGCTTGAAGAAGAGGTAAGTACTAAACTTGTGTCACATCATCTTTACTGATGAGAAAAATTTCTTAAATGAGGTAACTTAACAATAGCTTGCCTTATGTAATTTATACTTGCTTTTATTTTTTTGACAAAAAGTGACATGGATATGGGCCAGCATGTGTGCTTACAGCCCAGAAAGCCAACTGTATCCTGGGCTGTGTGAAAAGCAGCAGGGCTGGAAGGTCAAGGGAGGTCATTCTCCCCTGCACTCTGCCCTGGTGAGACCCCATCTGCAGTACTGTGTCCAGCTCTGCAGTCCTCAGCGCAGGAAAGACATGGAGTGGGTCCAGAGGAGGCCACAAAGATGATCAGGGGGCTGGAGCACCTCCCCTATGAGGACAGGCTGAGGGAGTTGGGTTTGTTCAGCCTGGAGAAGAGAAGGCTCCATGGAGACCTTCTAGCAGCCTTCCAGTACTTACAGGGGATCTCTGAGAAAGATGGGGACAGACTTTTTATCAGGTCCTGTTGCAATAGGACAAAGAGTAATGGTTTTAAAGTAAAAGAGGGGAGATTTAGACTAGATATAAGGAAGAAATTTTTTACAATGAGGGGGGTGAAACACTGGAACAGGCTACCCAGAGAGGTGGTAGATGCCCCACCCCTGGAAACATTCAAGACCAGGTTGGACGGGGCTCAGAGCAACCTCATCTAGTTGAAGATGTCCCTTGCTCATTGCAGGGAGGTTGGACTAGATGACCTTTAAAGGTCCCTTGAGCCCAAATTATTCTGTGATTCAAAAAATCAAGGTATGTCTTGGGGTTTTTAGTTAACTTTCAGTGGTAGTTTCTAGTAACTCTGTACTTTCCAGTGTTTCTGGTCTTGGACAGAAATTTCACACTCTTTTAGCTCTGCTTCTTCAGAACAGAACAGAAGGTCTAAACTTGTCATTGCAACTTGGATGTTGTGTGAGAGTATATTTGTACTAGTTTGCCAGTGATCTTTCTGCTGCTAAGTGATAGCTTTCACCAGTGCATAGGAAGAGGATTAAATCTGTTGTCTTAACGGCTTGTTACTGTTAGGAGGTGGGATGGAGGACATTGTCAGTGCAGAATCTGGTGGGCTAAATTAGGCTTGCCTTTGCTCCTTCAAGCAAACTTATACGTGGAGGCTGTCCAAGATGGTACTGAAGTACCATCATGTTTGCGTATCTACTTACTAAGCATGTTACTAAGGATTGCTTCTTAATCTCTAAAACTTCTATGTAGCTAATTCTATTAATTATGGTATCTTAAACTAGATGCAGATTATTTCACAATAAAATAGCTTTTGAATTTAAAAAGTTTCTGCTACAGCTGCATTGCAGTACAAGCAAGATAACCTACGTTTGAGGGGCAGCTAAACAGTATCTGGGTGTGAATCTGTTACTTCTAAAGAATTGTATGCATAGTGCTTCATTCAGATTAATGATATGCTTAAATTCTTTGGTTTAGATTACAAATAGGAATATGAAGTATGTATACTAATTGATAGTGGGTAAATGTTGAAATGCTGTCCGTCTAACCTGTTTCTATTCTTCACTAAAATTTCCTGAAAAGTTCCAGTTAAACCTGGTAAAAATTCACCAGGTTTATCCAATTCACCGTTGTTGCATATAAAGTTGAATTAGTATCTTTAAGAATAGACAGTTCGAATTTGAGTATGAAAATACTTGTTGCATGCGTGTAAAAGCCTTAGCAGGGGGTTATAAAGATAAGCTTGTAAACTTGCACTTCAGCTGTGTAAGTTAGTTCTTGCTCTTAGAGGTGGTTCTCTACAGGAGAGGAATATCTAACCAAAAATCTTAGCAGGAAGAGCACTAAGTAGTTTAGCATTTGAATGGGTTGAATAGAATGCCTGAGTGGCACACTACATGGCCAGCGTGATAAGTTGCTTTACAAAGACCCACCTGTGTACTTTTTTCTTTTTTTTCCACTGTCCTTTCAAGATGTGGAAAGATTACTTCTGAAGCTCTAAAGGCATATATTTGGTGGTTCTGATTTTTCTAAGTATGCCGTATAAAAGGGGACAATGTCTTAGCACCATTTTGGCTCTTACTGCCGGTAACTCTTAGTTGAAGAGAGAGGCAAGAACACAAGTGAAATGGTGTTCTTTCCAAGTAGGATACCTGTGCAGCCTCCCTTTTGTAGTATGAATGGGAACTCTGAGCTTACACTGAGTGAGTTTCTGGTCTTGGGTCCTGCTTTTGGTTATAAACTGTGCTGTATGGTGAGGGAATTGAGCCACTAAAAGTAATCTGGTTTATGGTGGATCTGATGATTTTTTTAACGTATTTTCATGAAACAATACTGTTTGCACACCTACATAATTAATCCTTTTTTTTTCTATGTGATAGAACTTGTATAAGGCCTGTTGTGATCTATGGAGGTACACACACAGGCCATTCAATTCGTCAGGTAATGCAAGGCTGTAATATACTATGTGCCACTCCGGGAAGGCTTCTAGACATTATAGGAAGAAAGCAGGTAAGATCTTAAAACTGAATACAAATTCCCTGAACACTTTTAGCTTTTTACATACTAGTTTTCTTGCTTCAAATTCAATAGAAACAAAGGTAGAGCCATGAAAACAGTCAATATGCTGCCTTTATACAGGCACTTACTTAAAATACAAGTGAGCTTTTCTTGGAATATTTAAATACCATGAGTTTTTTGAAAGAGTAGTGTGAGTCCAGATATCTTTAGTCCCTTTAAGGGCCCACTGGAAAATAACAGTCTAAATCAGACTGGCTGCAGTGTTGTTGGCAATCAAATTTTATAGTTTAAATGGAACACCTTCTCTTATTTCCTATGCAAAATTCCATAGCAGATTTTCACTTGGTGTCCTGTTTGTTTTGCTACAATAGCTTTTATCTGGAACTGTGTTAATATTAATTCTTTGAATGTTTTAATACTGATTTTATTCAAAATATAAAAAACTCCAGTTGTAATATTGTATTTGAATGTTTATTTTTCCAGCCATTATAAATTCAAATCGAAATTGCTACGTATTATAATGGTGGCTCGGTGGTGTTACACTGGACAAATGAAGTTCAGAAAAACACTTCTTGGTGATAAACTGGAGATTCTTTCTATAGTTGTCAGGCTTCAGGTCAAAACCACAGTCTTGGTCAGCAGCAGTGCCCGTGTAATGTCCTTAATAATGCTTTCTGACATAATTTTTTTCAGAACAAGGAGAATGCCTGAGGGTTGTATGAGAGAACCTTTCTAAAACTCAGGCATAATTTCAAAATAGATGTGCTTAATAATAGTTGATCTATAGGCTCTATCTTGGTTTACATTGCTTAAGCAAGTTCTGAAGCACTTCGTTGTATGCATGCTATTAGAATTAGTGCAGATTTTAAAAAGAGGTTGAGATGCAAACAAAACATAATGCACATAAGCTTTTATAATAATAAATAATAATATAAAATAATAATAATTAACTTCTACTGGAAAGAAATAAGTAAAAGGTGGATTTTGTCAATTAGGACATTCTATAAGTGTATACTGCCAGTGAACCAATACAGTTTTTCTTTCACTGAAATACTTGCAGATTGGTTTGCGTAACGTGAAATATTTGGTGCTAGATGAAGCGGACCGCATGCTTGATATGGGTTTTGGGTTAGATATGAAGAAGCTGATTTCTCACTCAACCATGCCACCAAAAGACAAACGTCAGACACTGATGTTTAGTGCCACTTTTCCTGAAGAAGTTCAGAAGTGAGTAAAATAAAATTGGAAATATATCTGAAGATGCACTTGTGTGGAGCTAAATGTCTGAAGAGTTAAGAGCACTCTTTATGTTTAAAAGCTTATAATCTTCCTAGAAGATACTGAAAAGCTATGATGTTAACATTCCTTGCTGAAGACTTCCCTTTTTTAGGTGACTTGCATAGATTAACTGCTTAATTTAAGTGGTAAGTCTAAAGCAACTTATGGAGTTTGTCTGAAGGCGTTTGAATTCCAGTTCTGCAGAAGTCCTCATACTGCCCCTGTTTTTTTCTTGTCCCTCTTCCATCACATCTGTGCAATCTCAAAAACAATGAGCTTGCTGTTTCATAAGCAGCACTAGTAGTGCTGTCTTTGGCACCAGGTCATAGTGTAAGCAGACATACCAATTATTGCTCAACTCAGCAGCCTTTCTGGTACACGATTCTTATTTACATGCATAAGTGCTATTTGGTTTTGGTAGTTTTAAAGCTTCCACAAATGGCTTTAAGACATATCTTACAGCTCTACTACTCACTACCCTTGAAGTTCCTCTTTCCAGACTCTGAGAGAACAGTCTTCAACAGATGGTAGTGGGGTTGCTGAGTCTGGAAGTAATAGAACAAAACACTCCATTCCCTGTAGGTGGGTGGAAATTATTCAGTATTTCCACTTTTGAAGAGACAGGCATCTGAATACTCATTCTTAAATCAGAGGAGTCTAAACTTCAGTTTGAGCAGTTGACATAATTTTGGTGGCTTTTGTGGTAGGGATACTGTTGTGACAGTATCACTAAAAAATACCAGTAAGCATGTTGCCATTTGAGAGCATGTAAACTGATCAGATGGTTGTAGTGGTGTTGGTAATTCAGCGAGTCAAATCCTGACAACTTTCTTATGGCCTTCAAGAAGCCTGAAGGATCTTTTTTGAGGCTGGGAGAAAACATCTTCAGTAGTTGACTGTCCTGAATGAAAGTGGGGAATGGCTGCTTTCTCCCATTCAGTCAGTTAGTACTGACAGCTGTTGGGGATATGGATCACGTTTCTTTAAGTAGGATTTAATTCACTTTAAAGTCAGTCTTAAGTTGCCTATTGTGGCTTTAGTTCCTCAGTCAAGACTTTTTTCATGGAGTTTTTTGTATTGAAAGAAAGAAGGTCTTGCAGTGAGCTAGTAACGTCCTTGTTTCCACAGCTGGGAATCAAGCCTTCAAATGGTACTGTACATGAGCATGGTTCATATTCATTCCATGTTTGTATGGAAGTGTGGTCTCACTTTGCACTGCATCCTGGGAGAATATTGGGTGTGTCTCCTTTGAGATGCACAGGCTCTCTGGGGTTGAGAGAGGAATCTTGATTTCTAGATCTGTTGTCATCGTCAATGTGTTTTTGCTAATGCTCTTGCTATGTGTTTTTGCTACATACTGAGGGATGAGTAAAGCTGTAACTACCAGCATCTGAAAGTAGGAGATCCCTTGCAACTGTGCAAGATGTTTACTGCCTGCTTCTGTTTAACGGGGAAAAAAACCAGCAAAACCCAACAGACTACCTTTCTACCATCAGTTTTGCAGGATTTACAAGTGCTGGTAGAAGACTTCAGAAACCTAAGTGCTTGTAGCATGGTTTGGAAGTGCATAATAACATTTCCTGTAACCTTTGAAAACTGGAGTGCCTAAAGGTGATGTTACCATTTTAGAGAGTGAAAGGCTTTCTTGTCTGAAGTCACTTTCTTCCTGGATTTAGTGCCTTACTGATTCTGGAGACCGGAAAGCTAATGTTTTTCCATACTCTGCCATCAGAACAAGTTTAGACAGTATACTACTTTGGTATTACAGGACAAGGTGCTTTCTTTGGCACTGCTAAGTTCAGGCTCTTCTGGACTTCTATTCAGTGAGTTAGTTTTAACGTACCATTTGGGTTTGTACCTGAATTTGGGTCTCAGTGTTACGTAAACCTCTGGTCTGATCGTTGTGGCTCTTCCTGTACACGTGAGTTGAGACATCCATGCATTTCCTAAGAACTTCAGCTTAGCATTTGGGGCTTTATATGTCCCTTTAAAAGGTCTTTTCTTTCTTTTCTCCCTTCCTGTTTTTTGTTTACTGTTCTGTTTTCAGAGAGTTTAAACTTGCTCTGTACTTTCAATTTGGAACTGTGTCTCTCCGTGAGATATTAAACCAGTCAGATCTTAAGACCAAACACATTTAAATCTCTAGTAAGTTGTTTGCTGTGAAACCTTTTCAGTGTCAATTACACCTATGAATCAGGTAGGAGATTCAAATCCTTAAGGCAGTCCATTAACTTTTTTAAGAGTTTCCTCTCTTTTTAGGAATTTATTCTAAAACTTGATGTTGTCTGCTTTTGGTTAAAGGTTGACTTGTTTACCATCTGAATTTTACTGCAGTGGAAGCTGCTTTGTGTATTGATAAGTTAGTACAGTTTAGTAAAACTCGAGTATTATGGGACATTCCAAGGAATTACTTACTTTGGTGAGTTTGATCTCTCGGATAAGATCACCTAGGTAAGGCATAACTGAAGAGGAATGCTGTCTGAACAAAACTTGATTTTTGCTTATGGCAATTGGTAAATAAATGCTATGTAATAAGCTGTGTGTTTTTAAGCAATGCGTTTGAACAGGCAAAAAGGATGGTGGTGTCTCTTGAAGGCCTGTTTTGAATTCTGGCCTGTGTAGAATTCTCCCTTGATCCTCCAGCTGGTGATAAAATAGTGCCCTGAGACTGGTTCTGTGGTCATGTGTCAGTAACCCCATTTTGTTACAAACATGTGTGTGGAACTCTTTCTGAGATGGCTAGAAAGTGCAGTGTTTGTGTACGAAAAGCTACAGGGCAGTAATCAGTCTGTGCACCTTCTTATTGATGAGGGGTTTTTTTGTACAGCTCTCTAGAAAACAGTACAGACTTCTCTATTTTTTTAAAAAATGTACATATGACTATTTAGATCCTCTGACTTGTGAGGAATGATACAAGTATTTGTTGTGGGGGTTGCTTAAACAGAAATGAAGTTACGTGATCTTAAGTGAAAGTAAGCTACATAATAGACTTCATGTTGGTCAATTTTGTTTCTTTTCAAGGCTGGCTGGTGAATTTTTGAAAAGTGATTATTTATTTGTTGTTGTTGGACACATGGGTGGAGCTTGCAGTGATGTTCAGCAAAGTATTCTTCAGATTCCTCAGTATTCCAAGAGGGATAAACTGATAGAAATTCTGCAAAGCATAGGTAACTTTCTTTATTGCTAATTGTTTTCCAGGGAAGACAAAATTGTTTGTTTTTAAACTTGTGCCCTTGCTGTTCGCCAGGTCATGATTCCATTCTGTTATGGGTGTTACATGCTTTACAGGACTACTGATTGAAGCTTGAAGCAGACCTCTGGGAGTTCTAGGGTTTTAGGCATATTTGTGTTAGGGATATTTGTCAAGGCCTCATCTCTATTGAGTACTAGCAGACAAACTTCCCAGATGGTTAGTTTCTTTATGTGGTCTTTATATTTCTTTACAGGGTATTATCTCCAGATTATAGATGTATTAAACTCTTACGTAAACTGTTTGGGCCTGTATTTTGTTAAAGGCTGGGATTTTGTAATTTTTGCTCTGAATGTATCTTAAGTTTTAGTGCTGAAAACTGGAAGGAAGTTTGGAATTAAAAAACAGTCTGTGTACCTTGCTGTTCAGTGCTCAGAATGGTGTGCCAATTCTGGCCACATGCTGTAGAAAGGAAGTGCATGAGATGAATTTATCACTGAGAAATCATTTATCACTGCATGAATTTATCACTGAGAAAAACACTTGTTTTGTCCGTTTATTGAGGAGAAAAGTAGAATGCACTTGTCTTCATCTAGATTTCTGTGTTGATCTGGAAATTGATGGATTGAATTTGATCACTTCAACACAGGCAAGAAATAACAATCATACCTTAAAAAAGTCGTTAAGGTTCACATTCAAAGTCGTTCAAAACCTGTCCTGGTAGTAGGTGTTATATTAGTAGCTGCAACTGTGAATAGTTAAAATGCATCAGATTTCTAACTGCAGTGGATGTGAACTCTTGTTTAACACAGGTCATGAACGAACCGTGGTGTTTGTGGACAAAAAGAAAAAAGCAGACTACATTGCAGCCTTTCTTTGTCAACAAAAAATAACAGCCACTAGCATCCATGGGTAAGTATTTTTAAAGAGAAAGTCAGGTAATAGTACTAAGTGTGACTTAAGTATCTGTGTGACTTAGCTTGCCTTGTTTCAGATAGCCCTGTAATTCTCAGCAGCTCTGCTTAGTTGAGTGTAGTGTTTCTGAAGGCCAGTTATCATGGCATTTTCTGAGTATACATCTTTCTTGTTGACCACACTGTATATGAACTGCAGAATTTTATGCCTACTGCTAAAAAAAATTAATACATAATAATTTTGGTAGAATCAGCTGTTGTTTAGATGTAGTTTTTGTAGTCATTTCTGTGACCAATATCAGACCTTTTGGTGTTGGTGGTGAGATATATTTGTAAATTCAAGTGGCAGTTGTGGACCTTCCACTCTGTCCTACAGGCTTCCTCAAAGTGCTAAGTCAATACAGAATTCTGATGCTGTCATTTCTGCCTCCTTGATGTGTTAATAGACATGGCATTTGTATGGAGATTGATCTAAACAGAAGATGCTTCTAACTTGTGTTTGTAGTCTGCTCCTTGGTGTTGCAAACCTGAACAAATGCTGAGAAACAAGGTGAAATAGTTGCTAATTCCAGGTCTAAACCCATCTAAAAAGGTGGCCTGTCTTTCATGTAATGAGCTGGAATGTAGTTCTGTGGTGGTTGTTTATATGTGGAAATGTAGGACAGGGAACTGGGTCTTAAGATTCCTAGTGAACTGTAGCACATCAAAAAAGTAATTTTGCAATATTTTTCGTCTTGCAATAGGAGGAAGGGGCTTGAATTCTTGCCAATAAAATGTTTTGGGCACTGTTCTGACAGATATCTGAGTATCAAGGTTGTAGATGGTTCAAAATGATCTTAGTACACAGATAGAAGATGTTTGTATCCTGTGCCCTATCAGTTTTACAGGTGTGTGAAGGGTCATTTTGAGAAGATCTGGCCTGTTCTTGGCTAATTTGAATTACTGTCCCACAACCTGTTTTGAGTGGGAGGAGGTTATTTTTGTCCCACAACCTGTTTTGTGTGGGAGGAGGTAACTACAAAGAGAGTAACTGGTTCCGTGAAAGCTGCTAAACTGTCATGAGAAATTACTGATTTCTGATTCACTTGAATTTTTCGAGTTGAAGTTAGTTCGGATAGTTGCTCTTCTCTGGAGTAGTGGTCATACCAGACTTCACTACATGTCCAATGTTAGATTCAAAAGCACACTTTTTTTTAAGTTTCTAATTTGTTCTCTCATTTGGACAACAAAGAACATGAGTTAAGCTCTGATCTACTGTGTTTAAGTACTGGATGATATTCTTTAAAAATGCAAACCCCAGAGCAAACGTAGTTTTCTTCTCGTGATGATAAACAAAAGGCAAGTTCTATAGTGTTGGCTTACCACACTTTCTAATAGGAAAAATGGCCTACGCAGGAGTATAAGTAGACTTCTTTGCTCTTCTTGCTCACGGCTACAAAGCAGTCGGAAAAGCACTTCTAGCAATGGCATGAAGAAACAATCAGTTACAGAAGTGGATCCTTAGGGAAGCAGAGTTAAGTTCGGTACATGACTAATTCTGGTTCTTTAAAAAAACTCTTAATTTCTTTAGAGACTTAGGTTACAGTAGCTGCTGTGTCTTACTGCTAATCAGTTAAAAACTGAGAAAACCTAAACTGGTAATGTGTGAGTGGTTGGTTTTTGGTGTCATCCCCTGTGTCGTGTCCGTCGTCCCATCCCCCGACCCCAGATGACTTCTGTGGGTAAATCATGACCTTTAACTTGTATCTTAAATAATACTGCAGATTCTTTGAGACATTCTTTCTAACCATTGGGGGTTTTGGTTTGGTTTTTTTTTTTTTTGTAGAGATAGAGAACAGAGAGAGAGAGAAATAGCTCTGCAGGATTTTCGTTCTGGAAAAAGTCAAGTTCTTGTGGCAACTTCTGTGGCAGCAAGAGGTCTGGATATTGAAAACGTTCAACATGTTATTAATTTTGACCTTCCTTCCACCATTGAAGAGTATGTACACAGAATTGGACGAACTGGTCGTTGTGGAAATATAGGCAAAGCAGTTTGCTTCTTTGATAACAGTTCAGATGGCCATCTTGCACAATCGCTAGTTAAAGTGCTCTCAGATGTAAGTTTCGAATCTTAGTGCTTAACTTTTTCTATTCTTTAGGATTTCACTATTATTTCTTTGGTACAGTTATGCTAATCTTAATATGAATTACTAAAGCAGTCAAAGTCTCTAAATTCACTTTTCTAATTATGTAGGCCCAGCAGGAAGTTCCTGTTTGGTTGGAAGAAATTGCTTTTGGTTTTCAAGGAGAAAGAGTCTTTACATCAGTTAATACCCATAAGGTAAGTCTGGAAATGAACTGGAAGTCTTGGCTTTCAGAACTTTGTCTTGGTATAAAAGTGGTTTTAGCAGTATATATCCAGCATAGTACCACTGAAACTGTTTTGACTGTAACTGTGTCCCTTATCTTACTTGTGCATCTTCAACGTGCTCAGCATTTCTGAATTTAATTTTGGACATCTTGCTTGACTTAAACTCTTACAGTGTGGCCTTACTAGCTCTGTTAGTCTTGATCTGTAGCGTCAAGAACTAGTCTGTGGAAGAAGAGTTTTGTGCAAACGTACACAAAGGCTGTAGTTCCAGAAGTTTCTCTGCTGCACATGTAGGATAGGAGCAAATAGTTGCTAGTTATAAAGTCACTGCTTGTTATGTATTGCTCAGTCAGGTAACTCATTTGACTAAAAACTTCAGCTAAATATAGTTAGATAAATGCCCCAATCTGATCCCTGTCAAAATTGTTCTGAATGTCTGTGATGAGGAGGAGCCTTCTGGTCTCTTAGTGTTGCTGATACCAGATGTTAAAATACACCTTGAGTAAATGAGACAGCCTAGGTGGCAGAGCTCTTGAATCACTGTGCAGTCACTAGTTTAGGATTTGAATTCTATGCCTGCTCCTACTTTGAAAAGTATCTGCTTGTATTTTAATGCCTTCATCAAAAGCCTTGATCTTACAGATGACTGGGCTTCATCCTTTTTCCAAAAGAAAAAGGGTTTTTCTGGGAAAGTGATGCAGACAGTCATTCTTAAATAAGAAATGGAGAAGGAATTTTTTCCCCAAAGTTGTGTGAACTGGTTTGTTGGGTAAGAGAAGTTGGGATTTGAACTTTGGGAAGGATTCTTCCCACACCTGATAAAATCTGAGGTTGATTCAAGTGCATTGTTTTCACACTGGGGTCTAAAAACCTTAATGTGTAAAAGTTTATTGATGAAAGAGCTTCTGTATTTATTTAAAAAATAGGATGTTTAAATTACATTGAGATAGGTTCATGCAGACATCTAAAATAGTTTTATAGTGACTTTTACAGTTCAGTGATTGAAAGCGTTAATGGTTCTAAACTAGTACCTCTTCTGTTTCCTAGAATTACAGACACAGAAGCAACATGAACCCAGAAGGAATGAAGATGTCGTATTCTGCAAATGCACTTGAGTCATGGGATTAAAACTACTTCAGTACCAGTCTAGATTGTATTCTGTTGTGTTTTAAGTGAACTGTTGGACTTAATGTTCCTTGCTGTTGAGCTTATTGAACACTTAATGTTTAAAAGAGTAGCTTTTATGGTATGCTAAAGCTTTCAGCAGTATATACATGCTCTGTTATGATGATCCCAGTGAGGATTATCACTTAATGCAGGAAGTCAAAAGCAGGAAACACTTTTTAGGAAACACTTCAGGTATTACGCGTTAAAACTTTTAGTTTAGTGTTTGATGCTTGGTAGCTGGTATGCTGCCCTAAAAAGCTGGGGAGTTTGCAAGTGGAAAATAGTGGATCCATTGAACTTACTACTTCATCAGAATTTTGCATGGGAAGATAGTCTTGTGAAGACCTAGTTTGGGAAAGAGCTTTATGTCAAGGTCTCATTTAAACTTAATGTTCATTCGTTTTTGTAACAGGTTAGTAAGAAAACTTTAATCTAGTGATGAGATGCCTTAATTTTGAGGATCTGTTAAACAGGTTGTAAACAGTTACTTAATAAAAGCTTGACAGTGCATATTGGTGGTTGCTTCTACATCAGATACACAAAAAGCGTATGTCGTTGCAGTTTTATAAACTGGTATTATTTTGGCATGCATAGAACGTGCATCTCCATGTGGAGTTAAAGGTCAGTGGCTACATCCACAGCTTAGTTGAAATATGTGTTTTTAGAGCCATCTTCAGAGAAGGATGGAGCCTTCCAGTTGCTTATAGTACTTTGACAGATGTAAGTACTCTTCTGTTATCTCTTGTGGAAAAGTTTGCTTTAGAACAAGCTTGGTGGCTTGTGTCCAAAAGAATGTTGCAGACAAGTAGAAGCTGTAGAGGGTGAAGAACCATTAACAGTTCAAGGAGATTTCCTTAAAGTTGCTTTTTCTTTGATAGTTTTTTTTTTTTACTTACCAGTGTGGTATGCTACGAAGATGCGTATCATTGTGCCCCCAAGAAAAATGACAAAGTAATTGTAACTTGAAATGTTTTGCACAGATGAACAAGCTTACAAGCTTCTCTCATGTTCTTATGTATTCAGCACACAATGCTGAGCGCTGCTTATTGTACAGTCTTCCTACTTAATACAGGGAAATAATACTTTTAAGCACAGCTTACAAGACTCACGGTTTAATGCCCAGGTTTGTGAGAATCAGAACTGGCTTGGGCAGTACTATGGAATCTGTTATTGTGGAAAAGTGGGCTGTCGTTCTTATTTTTTGTATGAATGTATTTTCAGAGAGTTAAGTGTGTGTATATAGTACATTTTTCAGAACATGTAGGCTTTCCTTAAATATTTTGAGAAAAGAGTATTCATCTTTGTATAATTTGGGATGGGTAGAAAGAGCGTTGACCATCAGGCTGGTTTTCTGAATAAATCTTTAGTTAGTTAAAGGTAAAACTGAAAAGCAAGTCTGTGTGCACACTTGCAGTATCTTTTCAGTGTACATGTTTGCTGATTTACTCTTTCATTACTCTGTTCTTCATAGATAGTTTTTACATCTTGTCGTTCCATGCAGGGAATTGCTAGATTTATTTCCTCATGTTTCTAGGTAAAAAGAGTTTGCACAGAACTTCTGCTTGAACTTGTTTGCATGCAGTCCTGAAGTCTAGTATCTCTTTGTTTAGGGAGATAGTGACATTATGCACTGAGCTACATTCTTTCTTTTTTTTCTGCTTCAGCTGGGTGTAAATGTGCCATAGGGTATTGAATTTATCACCAATATCAAGGAAAGAAAAAGGTAATAATCAGCTAATTGAACCAATGTAATAATTGGTAGTGCACGCCTAAATCTGGAACCTGTGGTAAAGTGTCTGGAACATCGCATATTCGCATATATTTGTGCTTGAAGTTCCCTTTTACAGCAGACCACAAATAAACATAAAACATGGTGCTGTTTAACACACACTGTATTACTCTAGGCAAGGCAGACTCTTTCGCATTTCTTTTACGTGGAAATGTTTATTTCTTATATGTGCATTCTACGACTTCAGTCTGTTTTCCTGCATGTTCAGAAGTCCCCCTTTCCTAAGGGAATAAAACTGGCTATTTCTTTAATTTAAATAGTTTCTGAGGGTGGTAGGAGTTGCCATAAGCAAGCGTTTTCATATTGTTAATTTTTTTCCTGCTATGTCATAAAAAAAGACCCAACAACAAACCCAACAAAAAAACACAACCAACAAAACCTGTCCCTAGGGTGGTAATGACATAATGTTAAGAGGAAAAAGGTCAGATTTACTGCTTCTTATGAGAGGATGAAAAACTGAAGAACCAAGTCTGATGTCAGATGATTGTGTCCGATCAGAGGTATAGAATGCCTGTTGAAAAGGGAGTGAGGGAGAATTAGGGTTAAGGAAAATGGAAAACTTGGAAGAATATTATTTGCAGAAGACTTGAATATTCAGTTTTGTGTTAAGCCTCTTGTGACTTTCTAAATACCTGTTTAATCTGCAGGAAAATATCTAAATCTTATTCTCAGCTGGAGGAAAACGATGACAAACGTGGGAAATTGTGGGAAATGAACTGCACTATCAGCTGTGCCTCTCTGTTGACTTTTATTCCTGCACTGAGGTGATTTTATATTTACATGGAGAATGTGTTGAAAGTCTTACTGGAAAGTAAGTGTGTTAATACCTTCTTCACTCAAGAGTCCTGTTGTCCTCCAGGTGGCAGTCAGGATGAGCTTTCTTGAAAGGTTTCACTGAACTGGTTGAAACCTGAGAACAATGTACCTCCAATTCCTTTTAGACACTTCTGCTGCCTGCAGTTGTGCTGACCTCAGGTCACTGAATGCTTTTTCCTATCTTTACCTCCATGTTTATATAGACTGCTGTTTGTGTTGGAGCGAAGGGGTTTCTTGACAAGCTAGTGTTGTAAAATGCCATCAAGCCTTCTTTCTTTCAACAATACTTTGAATGCTGTTTTTCTTATGTCTCACAGTACAATAGTAACACGCTTAATGCAGTGCCTGAACTTTTTTTTCCTCATGAGTTAACTTTCTCACTGGAGTCTGAGAGAATTGCAGTCATGAGGTTGAAAAGGAAGGGAAGTCTGTAGAGGTGAGTTGTGACAACTGTGCTTTGACTGTGGATCCTGATCAGAACAGCAGTTCTAGGAGTGGCAAAGAGTAAATAAAGTCAAGGGTTTCTTTGTATAGCTGAAATATGAAAGAAATAGCAGAGGGAACCTGATAACCTTGCACAAGTGCTAGCTTTGATAAGCAGACTTTCTGAAACAAGCTCTGCCTCCGTAATGAGCGTGAATACCAGTCCCTGCAGACTTCCTCTCTCTCTCTGTTTAAAAAAAAAAAAAAATTTTTTGGAGCTGCTAGACAGTTGGAAGTGGGGAGGTTGGATATTCTGTGAACCACTCTGTGAGCTCCTAGAATGGAAATGTACTGGGACAGATGTCTGCTGTGGTTCTGTAAACCAAATAAGGATGATGTGGATGGCTGTTTTTTTGTTACCAGTCAGTCTGTGATCGTTGGTGTGATTATGTGAACAAGTGGCAGAATTCTTCTAGCACTTGGATTTTCATTGGTTGTTTCTGGGATGCCTGAAACGATTCTTAAAATTATTTGATACATTTGAATATATATGAAAAAGAAATAACAACAGTATTTGTTGTTATTTCTTTTTCTTATATATTCAACAGTAAAAACAGGTGTCTCTACACACCATAATCATCCTAGTGCATTCTATTCCATTGCTACAGTAGGAACACAAGAGTTGGTTTTAATATTCTTCATTTTCTGGGACTTGCACCAAATTATACAAATGTGTGGTTTTGAGTTCCACCTCTTGGATTTCCACCCCTGGTAT